TAATCAAAGAGTAATATTCATTTCACAATTAACCTCATTCAGTGGCATATCTTTCACAATTCAAGAATTCATTCATCATTAGTCAAAACCCCCACAAGACGGTTTTCCTTTTTTTTTATACACAACATACGGTTCGAACATAATTTCTATTTAGAGCACAAAACATAAATCTACTCACAATACCACAGAAGCAAGTACTAAGGATTGGAAAGTGGTTACCTCTCGCTTGAGCAAGGAATAACAAACCAACGATGTGGCCCCGTGCACCACCAAGACTCACAACCAGTCTACACAAGCACACAAACACACAACCATCATATATTAGCTTTCAAACTAATAATGTGGCCAAAAACACACTTGGGGACACAAAATTCCTATCTCCCATCAAAACTCTACCCAACTCAAAGGGTATAACTATCAAAACAACACTCCAAAGTCCTCAAAGTCTATTAAAACATCAAGTCTCCTTCTAAGCATCAATTATAGTTCAAACCTCAAGGACCCACTATAGGCATTCGACCTCCAACATCTCATTTGAGCAATTAAGGTTCCAACAACAAATCTAAACCGATTAAACATCCAATTTAACCCTCCTTAACATAACCCAATTCACAAAACTCAAATTCAATCCCTACATTATCATCCTCAATCCCAAATCATCCAATTCCATAAACCCTAACTCCAAAACTCAAGATTCTTTAAATCCAAGAAAACTACACCGATTAAAAACTTAAACTAACCCAATGCAATCAATTAAACCCAAAACAATCGGTCAAAAACCTCAGTTCCATCATAACTTAGAAAAACCTAGAGTTCCACTAAAAATCCTCAGAAATTCCAAGTAATTCTAAGAAAGAAAGAAGATTAGAGGTTAAAATCACTTACTTGAGGTAATGGATCCTTAGAAATGCCTTTCTCAAGCCTCCTCCACGAAACCCTAGCAGAGCTTCTCTCTCCTCCTTCAGATTTTCCAATTTTCGCACATCTGAACCCTCCAGCGATTATATAAAATCGCGACCTTTCGCCGCGGCGAACTCCATCTTCGCCGCGGCGAACTAATCCCGAGAGGGATTACTCGCCTGAAAAACCGACTTCGCCGCGGCGAAAGCTTCCCGAGAGGAAACTCTCACTCGCCCAGAAGAACTTCGCCGCGGCATACCCTACCTTCGCCGCGGCGAAACCTTCCCGAGAGGGAAGCCTCGCTCACCTGAACAACTTCGCCGCGGCGTCCCCAAGACTTCGCCGCGGCCAAACCTGCCCGAAAGACATAGCCTACTAGGAACTCCCGGTTCGCCGCGGCGAAGTAAACTTCGCCGCGGCGAACATACCCTGAGAGGGGTACGTTCACCTATACCTCCAACATACCTCAAATCAAGATTAAATTGCTAATCTATCCTCAAAATCAACCCAAAGGAGGCCATTAAAACCCGATAAAACTTAGGATGTTACATTTATCGATAGCTTTTAGGTATTCTTTAGCAGTCTCACATTTAGGGATTGCTCCCCGAATGCTCCTTGCAATCCTTGTCTTAATGATCAAGAGAGCAAGGTGGTTGGTTTTCTCCCAATGTTCATAGTAATTCTTATCAGCCGAGTCATCAGATAGTTTAGGAGGCCTGTCAGTCTCCAAGACAAAGTCCATATTATAGCAACCAAGCTGTAAGGAAATATCTTCCCCCCAATTAGGGTAATTAGTACCATCTAATATGATTTTGTTACTGGTATCAATAATCAGGTTAGGGACAGAAAATGAAGCTGCAATATCAGAGAATTATCAAACTTACAAATCAATCAAGATAATCACAATAACTGTGCCATGTATGCTTAAAAAACATTAATAAAGCATACAATTATAAATACGTATCATTAAGTTCTACCTGTGGGCAAAGAAATTAGTATAGCACGTATTTATCTTATATTAATGGAATCAGAATGCATTTATATTTCCTAATACCTGTGAGCTACTTAGAAAATACAAGGCAATTCTATCCTACCCTAATTAAATATACATTTATAATTATCTACTTATGGGCAAAGATCAATTATGAATGCATATTTAATTATAATTGATATTTTATAAGTCTATTATGTGATCTATGTTGCATGAAACAGAGAAAGGATGTTGTGGCTACTCCTTAAGAAAGCATGCGAATCACAAATATCAAATGAGTACGTTTAATCCAACATATGCACAGTATTAATGGAGAACACAAGCAATTAATTATTATATTAAGTCCTCCCACTATTTTATGCATCCAAACAATTATTTAAACACTAACCTCAGCATATTTCTACTCAAAATAAACAATGCAAAATTCAAATAATTAATTAATTTGTCTAAATTTATTGTCCAAATATTTAGGCAAATAAACAATATAAGAAACAATTTTGCAAATTTGCACAAAAATGTGAAATAGCTAAGATTAATTTTTATCTCTATTTAAACAATTTAAATATTTGCATAAAATAAATTACATGTGAAAACCATTTTTAAATAAATAAAACAGCTTTCAATTAATGGTTTGTTTAACATAAACAAATTCTCGAAATTAAATTAAATGGGCTAAACAGAATATAAACAAGACAGGGTCTAAAAGAACATTCCAGAACAATAAAATAAAACTGTTCAGACCCAAAACAGAAGCCCATAAAGCAAACAATGACAAAAAAACAAATTCTATACAAAAACAAGCCCAAACCAGAGGCCCAAACATTTTGTAACGTCATTGTGCAAAAGAAAATCCCTTTTTTTTTTTTTAAAAAAAATGAAACAGAGTGGCCCACACCGAGAAAAGAGAGAAAAATATAATTAAAAAAATTGCAGAACCCAATCTTTCTTGGCCCAGTTCGAAATTAAAAAAATAAAACGACAGCCCGAAAAAAATTTCCGCCCAAATTCAAAAATAAATAAAAAAATGTTTTTTTTAAAAACCCAATTCAAGGCCTAAAGTCGTTCGGCCCAAATTCTGCATAAGTGAAACGGTGCGTTTCACTGTTAACCGAAACGACGTTGTTTTTTATCAAACTGAAGGCGCCCCAAGGAACCCAAGACGGCTGCATTTTGACAATGGGCCTTCTTCCTCATGGAGTCGGGTTAGGTTAACCCAACTCCTGACTCGGTTTTAACCCAGTTCACAGCCCCTACATGGCCACTTGATTCTGCTATTTTTTTCGGCAGCCCTGGTCCATTTCTAGTGTTAAAGACACTGTTTTCTAGCATTTTGGGCGGTGGTTTTGGTAGTACAATGTCCAAAAATATGAAAAGCAACCAATTCAAACATATTTCAATGGAAAAAGATAGCCAAAACGCAGATCAATTCGGACTCGAAAGAAGAAAGGAAAAACCACAGTGATTTCGGGTTCCTAACGTTAACGGAGTTGGTGACGGTGATCATTAGAGGAACAATCGTTCATCTCCTCGCGTCCCATTCATCTGAAATTTTGCATTTATTAAAAAAAATAACCAATATGGTTTGAAAATAGATTACAGTTCAGTTATCTATGATCTGGCTTATGGAACCAATAAAAAAATACAACAGTAAATTCCATATAAAGTCAGATCGTCCCAGATAAAAACAAAATGTGTTAAATAAAATAAAATTAGGTAGAGTATAACCTAACCTGGCTCTGATGCCATGTGTAAGACATATTCAAACAAATAATATATAAAACATATAATCCAGTATGATACATAATGAATGCTCTTATAACAATACAGCAGAAGATTTTAGGATTAGAGTTACCTCTCGCCATAACTATTGCTTAACTGATCTGGGATCCTGGATAGAAGATGAGGACTGCAAAACAGATTTAAGGTCAGAAGAATTAATGATTCAGGTCTCTTTTGACTGGCATAAAGGCACAGTGATGGCAACCGGAAATAGTTGTCACCAGTCAGAGAACCTCAAGGAGTAGATAGGGTTTTTCTTTCACTGAATGTATTGCTCTCTAAATTTCAGCTGTCAAAACCTTAATTGTGAAAACTTGCTATAAGAGTAAATATATTATTGATTGAAAATCATAACCCTACTACGCTTGGGCTTTTTTTCTGAGCACGGGCCACACTCAAGATATTTTATTAATTCCTAATTAAATACTTTACTAATTTATAATAATAATAAAATATCTCACAATAACTACTATGAGTTCACAAAAAAGAAAATAACTATAAAAAAGTTTCAATGACAAATGAGACTTCATTATTTTCTAAATTAAAACTTGCCATTACAAACTATTTTCTTATTATTAGACTTTTTAGTAATTATGTTTTTCCTTTAAAATTTTATAGCAGTTCACCCTCTAAACTACACTCCATTAAAAGAAAGGGAGGCAATAGCGGATTGCAAAGCGGGATTTAACCAAAAATAAAAGAAAATATTAACAAGTAGTGTATAATCTATCACTAAGAACACCAAAACCAAGCCAATATGCTTTAATCTAAGTAGGAGGAGGAGCTTTGATCGTTTAAGCACGAAAATATTGAGTTTCAATCCATATAATACTGAAGACCTTTTTGAAAGAACTACTTCTAATTAAGCTTGATAATACTTGAATATTGGGGCCAAATTTAGGAAGTAATCTTGAAAGAAATGTATCTCATATTCTCATTACTTAAATTTCAATTCTATTATTCCAACAAATTCAAATAAAGTAATAAAAAACCAAGGTCAATAATAATGGAAAAAATATATATTTGGTTCAGGATTCATCTTAGTCTCTTAATTTAAAAAAGTATATTTTTAGTCATTTAATCTTAAATAATTTTTTTTATAACAATTGTGGTTATTTTGAAAATTAAACTTAATATTTATCAGCATTTACAATCTTAATATCATTATTTTTTTAACAATTTTAGAATTAAAAGATTAAAATATATTTTTAAAGTTAAGAAATCAAATTAAAATTTTATATACAAGTAAATAGTTAAAGCAGTAATTGAGTTTTTTTTTTGGGCAAAAAATAAATTTTTGCCAGCCTTTTTCCAAATATCCACTTCCCTTCCCAACTTTTATGATCTCTCCGGTGAGCTCCGCGACTCCGATCCTCCCATATCCTCATCTCAGATCACGGTAGTTGGTGTTCAGTCTCCTCTGCGACGGTGCTGTGTTCACTTTCCTCTTCTCACTCTCAGATCGAAAAGTAGATCGAGGCTGCGAGTTCTGTCGGTTCACTCCTTTTCTCCTTCTTTCCTCCGCCTGACATAGATCGGGCGAACAACTCCTTCGTCTTTTGTCCGTCAACTGTACCCAGGTTCGTCTATATGAAATCTGTTATGATTTTGAAATGCATGTCTTTGAAGCTTTCGTATTGGACCAGAGAAAGATGTTCTCCCCTGCCTAGTGCATATTCTTGCTTCATTTTCCTTTTGTTGTCAAAACCAAAGTAGTTTTATGCAAGTCCTGTTGTAAGATTGGTTAAGAGTTAAATGTAGAACCTGCAATGCACGTCCATCTCTCTCTTACTTGCCCTGATTTGATGTATGCTCTGTTATTATGTATTCTAAACCACATGTGAGCTGAGAATAATACCTTTGTAGATCCTACTGTTGTATTAACTACTCATGTTATACAATTGTCTGGACAAGTTTCACATTTTTCAATTGTACGCATAACCCTGTAATTAAGAATTTATACCTAGATGTATTTTAGATTAATGATTCTAATCTGATTGCATTGTTTTGACTATATTCAATTATTCAATGTAACGAATTGATCAGATAATTAGATATAATGTTCTAGACAACCAATTATATCGATACAGTTGGGTGGTTTAGGTGAAGACATCGATTAATTGTATTCTGAATCTCCAGTGAAGCTTAAAATTGGTTGTTTCTCTGCAGAGTTTGACCACTAAAAAAGAGAGAAAGCATAAAGTCTGCGCTTTCCATTGAGCTTAAGTTTCATCTTTGAGTAGCTTGTAGATTCAACCTCCGAGGAAGCAGCAATGCAAGGAGCCTCGTCTGGCGTTGGATATGGTCTGAAATATCAGGTAAAGTTCCCAGAATCATAACCTAATTCTTCATCCAAATCAGTTTAGTCTTTATATTCCCAATTTTCATTCTGGCCTTACTTTTTTGAATGTGTAGGCTAGATGCATATCAAATGTGAAGGCAGACACAGATCATACTAGTTTTCTTGCGGGAACTCTCAGTCTTAAAGAAGAAAATGAGGTTCATACTTCAGGCTTACCATATATTCTCATGTACGTCAAAGATAGTGAATTATTCTTTTGCAGGTACATCTGATTCGGCTTTCATCAAGTGGAAATGAATTATTCTGTGAAGGCCTGTTTTCACATCCTAACGAGATCTGGGACCTTTCATCCTGTCCTTTTGATCAACGGATCTTTTCAACCGTCTACTCCTCTGGTAATTGCCGTACTTAGTTTTGATTGTAAATAATTAGTTTATTCAGTGATTATTACTTATCAATGCGCTGTCCTGTATTCTCACTATAAATAAGTTGCTCATTTAGATCAGAACTCACTGACTACATTTCTCTCATATTTTCTCCTCTGTCATACTCTCATTTTCTTCAATTACCTCTCTTTTTTTATGTTCCCAATTCAACGTGAGTGAGTTTTGAATTCACATTGTAATTTAGTTAACATGTTAGCATATATGAGGAGGACTTGCTTTATTATGTTAGAAGCATTAGGAGCCATTTCCTCTATGAGAAATGCAGTTACTGTGAAAATAGGCTCATAAGAAGAAAGATTCTGATTTATCCTAAAGATTATTTCTCTGTCATCTCATGGGATATGAATACCAGATGAATGTAATGCAATCATTGTGGTGCTATTAATGCCAGATTAGAAAGACTTTTGATGATCTTCATGTTCATAAAGGTGAATCATTTGGAGCAGCGGTATGGCAGATCCCTGAGTTGTATGGGGAGTTAAATTCCCCCCAGTTAGAGAAAATTACCTCTCTTGATACTCATGCTGGTAAGATCAAACGGTGAGTTGTGATTCCTGCTTACAGTTTGTCTTTGCTCTGGGGAGATATGCCATTTTTATGTTTTGCATTTTAAGTTTAATGGTGAGTCACTGTCATAATCTTAAATAGCTGTCCTAAGAACTAGAATCCTAGATGCAGGAAAAAATGGAAAAAAAAAAAAAATTCCCCTCAAGCAAGATGTGATTTAACGATTATATCCCAATAGAGTCACGTGATTTTCCCTGTTTTTGGGACTGCCTTTTTGTTCATGTCATGAAAGGTTTGCTGAGTGCTGTATGATCTAATAATGTTACTGTTTACTGTATGCTAATTTCTCAGTTTAAGTATGAACCTAGATATATTAATTGACTCCTTACTACATATTCCCCCCCCCCAAACAGTATTCTTTGGTGGCCATCTGGAAGGCATGATAAGTTGATTAGCATTGATGAGGAAAATCTGTATTTGTGGAGCTTAGATGTTTCCAAGAAAAATGCAGAGGTATGAAGTTCATGGTGAATTTTATGCGATGCTTGAATCATGAGACATGCTTGCATGAATAAATATGTATATGGATATTCTTGGGTACACAATGATACTGTTATCGGTGGCTAAGTTACCATTTTTTTTGGGGGTAAAATTGAGCACTTATGGGAGGGGGAGGAATTCATGTTGATTGTATTGCTATCATGAAAAACTACAAGAAACCTGTCAAACATAAAAACTAATGCCAGAATCGATTTAGAATTCAATAGAGGTCAAGAAGAGAATTGGTCAATTTAGGAAAAAGAACTGGGAAAGGCTCAGCCAATTCAAACTTTCTTTGAATTTTTTGGTTGTTAATACAAAATAAAATCAATTTTGGGATAATTTTTTCCCTATATTCTAATATTATATAATTGTGATTCTTGTACATAATTATTAATAATTATAAATTTACTTATTAAATACTACGATGATTGATTATTGGTTGACTATTTGGAGCTCAATATATAAATATAGGTGAATGTTAACTTATTAGATTTGAATATCATGTTACGAAATATAATAGTAATAGTTTCTTTAATTTTCAACACATTATCTGAACTATTAAATAAGAATATATGAATTTTATTATTACTAAGTTTGATCATGGCTCAACCATGGTGGATTTTGTGAAATAACGCCTTGATTGGTTAAATGCTTGTGGTTTTCAAACATTGGATTATGCGGTATAAAAGCTTATTTTACTATGACCGTTCAGTTGAAACAAGTGGTGTTTGTTGTTAAGGAAAATGAAGAGGTGGGTAACTTTCCTTGAATAAATTCGGTGCTTTAGTTCAAGATAATGGGTCTTTTTGTTCATTTATAAGGGTAAATTATTTGGGCGAAGATTTCAGCATCCTTATTGAATAAATGCAATAAAAGTTAGGTTGAATGAGAAAATTTCTATGGGGGTTTGTTGTTAGATACGTTGTATGTGCTTGAGAATTTTATTGCCTTAGATGCTGGTGGAGACTACCATGCTTTATTGCCTTACCTCATTTCCTGTTTGTAACTTGTGACTGCCATGGACTTTCTGTTGATTCTGACTTTCTACTCACCCTTAAAAAAAAAAAAAAAAATCTAGATACAATCACAAGATTCAGCTGGAATGCTGCACAAATTGTCTGGAGGGGCATGGGATCCTCATGATGTGAATTCTGTTGCAGCTACTTTTGAATCATCCGTCCAATTTTGGGATATTCGAACAATGAAGTACGTAAGCCCTATAAAATTGTCATGCATTCATATGTGGCCTTATAATTTGTTTAAGATTAACAAAAAGGTGATTTTGATTAACTTACACGAAGGAGTTTTTGAGAGAATCTTAAGGTAAACATAGAGAGGTTGTTGGAAGAAAATATATTTTCAGTGTTTTTTTTTCAGTAAGTGATTTTGATTAGGTTATCAAAATAAGCTAAAAACAAATTTTCTTTCAACAAGCCCTCATGTTTAGCTTAAGACTGTCCCAACAACTCCCTTGTGTAACTTAATCAAAATCACATTTTTTGTTAAGTTTAAACAAACGGGCCCTTATTCTGACATGAAAATCTGCCATCAGTTGAGTTGAGTGCAAATAGGATTTGTTGTGTAACTTGTGTTTGTCAGTTCCAGAGAAAAAGAAGTTGATTTATTTTTGTTTGAAGCATGTAGCCACACACTTTCAGGCTTCCGAGATAGTTATCAGACTTTTAGAAGTCAAAATATTAGCAATAGTATTCTATTTTCTTCGTATTTTTTAAAATAGTTAAGTCATTTGAAGTTGAAGTTGGGGGTGGAAGAGTTGCATATTCCCCGACTGTTTGTTAGCTTCAGTGTGAACTGGTATCCTGTCCATGTAAGCATCCGGTTTCTATGATCTGTAAATATAATATGGCTGGAGGATGTCCTTGGAAGTGTTCTGTGACTTATGTTTGATAATGACGTTCTTCCATTTTCAGGAAGACGATTTCAATTGAGTGTGCCCATGTGCGAAATATTGATTACAACTCCAAGAAGGAGCACATACTTGTAAGGATTGAACTATGTGGGCCTCCTTATGCTATATGCGTGCATCCATTCCATTAAGAATAATGCTTTATCTTTTGAGATAGTGTATAAATTTTCTCAATTTCACCCATAACTGATCTTTGTGAACTGCCTATTTGTTCATATTGATAAAAATAAAAATATGCATTGACAGGTTACTGCGGAGCACGAATCTGGGATACACATTTGGGATCTAAGAAAGCCAAAAGTCCCCACTCAAGAACTTCCAGGACATACACATTGGTAACCATCAGCCACAAATTTCCATTTCATTGACCATACTATGTTTTAACAACCTTGTGCTAAAATAAAAGAGAAATCAAGGCAGAAAAAAGGCTATAGCATTGCGCTTACGATTTTAATGCACAAATAAGTTAGATTCTTGATATGCCTTTATGAAAACAAAATTAGTTGTTAATAGTTTTTATGACCTCTGATTGGCAATCTATTACTTGGACCTCCAGGACATGGGCTGTCGAGTGTAACCCTGAGTACGGCGAATTGATCTTGGTTCCTCTCTCTCTCTCTCTCTCTCTATATATATATATATATATATCTACCTATCTGTCTGTCTATGTCTCTATCTCTATGTATGCATATGTACTGAGCTATCACCCAATTTGTAGGATATAGTAGTTGAGTTTCCAAAAGCAAGGCAACAGGCATTGGACCAAGTAGTATTGTGAAATTTTATTTGTATTCATTATGTAGTTAACATAAAAAATTAATCTTAAATGTAGTCATTGTTTAAATATATAATTTTTTTTTTTTTTTTACAAGAACTAGTTAAAATTTTGATGAATGTAAGTTCGCAGTTTCTATAGTATTTATATATTAAAAGAATATAACGCTCATAAAGTCATACATCTACAAATCCTGAACTTAGTGTTGTTAGATGTGTGTGCGCACGCGTGCATTGTTTTGAAAACTTTCTTGGAACTCTTAGAATAAATTATTATATCTTATGTATTTTCCCCATTTTAATAAAAGCAGTATTTTAAACTTAGTAACTGCTGAACTGGAATTGTTTCTCACTTCTGGGATGCCATAGTTTATTGATGCATTTGCCATGAAATGTATAACCTGCAGAGTTCTGGCACTGACTCAACTGTGAACCTGTGGTTGGCTTCATCAAGCAATGATGTCTTACAATCTGAAAGGTCATTTTCTCATCTAGGATACTCTAACATTTTATTTGATAGCCACTTATTCATCTTTGATTACATGTTAGCAGGCAAGCAGATTCACCAACCCGTTGGGTTGATCCATTACTTCATACATACAGCGATTATGAAGACAGCATTTATGGTAAGTGCTTCAATTTATGTGATGCTAGATTTTTAATGGCTTCCAATTGACACCTGCTTCATGTTACAGGCCTCGCATGGAGTTCTCGTGAACCATGGATCTTTGCATCATTATCTTATGATGGAAGGGTAAGATCACAAGCAAAACTAATGGCAAATTGAGTGTGAAGGGCAAACTTCTGTTTGATGGAAAACGCCAAAGAAAGATGATTCTTCAGAATGTCTCCGTAGCCTAGATTGATCTTCCTTTCATTGCTTCTTTTATGTGCATTGTCTTAGCCCAATGCCCATTCTGCTTTGACTAAAATCGATTGATCTGCCTCTTGAGTTAATATCAGCAGAAGCGTCAATATTATATTTTTCTGTTGCATTTTCCAATGGCTCTCATTTGGCATCTAATGAATTAACCTCTCAGCGGGGTCACTGACAAAAAAAGTTCGTCCCTTTTAAGGAATCATGTTTAAACTCTGCGCCTTCTGTTGCTCATACTGATCTTAGTTTTTCCCCCCAATTATGTTCCCTGAGAAGTGAGCTTGGGTACAATACACTAAATTCAAGCACTTTTTAATGCCTAGAAAAGGATACATTTGCATGACCACGCTAATACTCTCACTGATTTGATGTCTTGTTTTAAAGCAGGTTGTTGTAGAATCGGTTAAGCCTTTCATCTCCAAAATATGAAAGTTAAATATCTATGGCTTCGGTGCAACCGGCTGTCTTGTTCTTTGCCTCAGAGTAACTGCTTGCGTGCCTTTCCTCCAGTTCTGAAAGGGAGTATTTCCAGGAAGGCCAAACCCATGCTACAATCATGTGGGGATTTGTCGTGGCTGAAGCTGAACAGGTTCCCATGCTGCTACTTTGGCCAGCAATCACAATAACTTTCGAAATGATTATATATATAAAAACATTTTTGTTCTTTCAAATCTAAATTGGATTTTTGTATTATTCCTTGTGTCGAGAGACATTTTTCAGTTCATCATAGTCATCACTCAATGTGTGTAACTATAGGCGCCTGTTCCTCTTGTGAGTTCATGAGCAAACTGAAGTTTGGAAATTGACGAGTGCTGAAAGAAATTGTGACGAGTCCTTTTTGTTTTTGGCAAATAGAGGGAGTTTCACTGCGCCTTGTGATTGTAATAACTAATGGTGCGGCTAAGCTGCTAGACATTTATTGGTATGACTAGTTTGGAGTCCCTTACCTGTTGCCTTTGTAAGTTCATGAACAAACTAGATCCTTTTTCACATTCCATTTTTCTGGACAGAAATTTTCTGATGAAATTAATGTTGATACCCTTTTCTAAGTACTGTCAAGGGCAACTTTCTTTATGCAAACGAATTTGTCTTCCTACTCGATAAGAATGGACTGATCGAATGTGACACTAACAAATACTCTCTACTAGTCTCTAGTAATCCTTTTAATTGAATTTCTCATTAGTTAAAAATAATTAACGATTTTTTATCCTTTAAAAAAAAAGATAAAGGTGCACCTAGTATCATGATCTTATTCTTCATGTGCATCTAACATTTTAATCTTATTTATGGTGTATGTAGAATTCAAATTTAAAAAAAAAAAAATTTGCTGTGTGCGCATGCATTTAAAACCTTAATTTTATTTATAATGCATACGACACTTTAAAGATTAAGATGTTGGATGTAACTAAAAGATGGTAGGGTGCTGGATGTATCAGAAAAATTTGATTTGCGTGTTAGACACTTTTAATATATCATACTCTTTTTTGAATCTTTTTTTGGGCCGAAGTACTCTTCTTTGAATTGAACTTTACTGAAAAAGGCCAAATAGTACTCTTTACCCATGTTTACATGAAATATTGAATAAGGATCTATTTCACAACATAATAAATATTGCATTGTATTTTGTGAAAGGTTTTACCCATTTAAGATCGGATGGAATAATAAACTAGAATTTTATTTTTTGAAATTATGCATTTTTAGATTTAAATATATGCGCCTCGGATTCCCGTCACGTCGCACTCTGACCACGTACATCCACTTGGGAGCCAGCATTATATAAATTCTGGGAGACCCAATGAACAAGCATAACCGCACTTTATCAATGAAAGCTTTACTGATATCCAAGGGGGAAAAAATGCCTTGTTAAAAAGCATTCTGTCTATTTTTAATTGACATTATAAAATTTTGGACTGAGATGTTACTTTGAAAGGCCGATTACTTACGTCCTTGAAGCGCAAGATAGATAAGACTATAGAAGGCCAAAATACTGGACATTCAGTGAAATGAAAGCCCTGCATATGCATTATTGATTTTTTTCTTTTGGGACCGATAACATACGCATTATAGATTGAGCTGCCCAAAAAAAAAAAAAACACTTGACTACTCCGTTCAATTTCAACATGGCCATTTGTAGCTAACAAAAATTAGTTCAGTTGATAAGGAGTTGGCATATAACCCACAAAGTTGTGAGTTTGAATTTCACAGCTAATATGAGGATCTTGGTGATAAACGATATATAAGTATCGTTGTAAGTACTTTATAAGCTTCAAAGCACCCCAAAACTAACTCACTTAAAATTTTCTTTGGCCATTTGTATCCAAAACAAAAAAAATCAACACGGGCTAGGATATTCCAGGGTCTTCAGTTCATTCCAGATACACCAGAGAGAGATAGAGAGAGCGAGAGGTGGATTGAACTTATGATGAGGTCAAAGAAAAAACTGAATTCATGACATCAAAGTATAAAATTGAACTTAATTATCATCCCTATTCTCCTTACTATAAGACACGTCCTATAAAGCTTTTTGTCCATTATTTTTTCCCCTAGATGTCATTTGATACTCCTATGGTCCTATTTATAGGACAATGGGAGAAGCTATTTTTTGGTTATATTTATAGTGCACTGAGAGAAATTTTTTGTATGGATATACAATTTTACCCATAATTTATTATTGTGTTGACTTTGTTTAGATAAGGTATAATGTATATTAAATAGGGATAAAGTTGAAAAGTTGTTGAATTTTAAATAAGGGTTAATGAAATTTAAGGGTTTTCTTGGTTTGTGTGAAACATATTGGAAGTGACTTATAAATAGGACTAGAGGAGTATTTTTTAACCACCTGAACAAGTCCCAGATTGTTTAAACATAATCCAACTAATGAATTTCATTTAGGGTTAAGGTACGTCCGGCACCTCGCCAGGTGTGCCCAGTGTCCTAAAGTAATTTTCGGTGCACCAGTGTCCCAAACTAATTAAAATGGTGCATCCGTATCCCAGGCTAATAGAAAAGTTAAATTTGACCGTTACCTTGCTGACTCAGCTGAAGGTCGACTGAAAAATCCTACGTGGCGGACACGTAGGCATCTGATGTGTATTATTTTGACGGGTTCAGGTGTGCCTTTTCAGGTGTCCCAGTGTCCTAAAGTAATTTTCGGTGCATCCAGTGTCCCAAACAAATTAAAACGGTATATTCATATCCCAAGCTAATAGAAAAAGTCTCATTTGACTGTTACCTCACTGACTCAGCTGAAGGTTGACAAAAAATCCTACATGGCGGATATGCAGGTGTCTAATGTGTATTAGTTTGACTAAAGCTCCCGAGACGAGCCCGGTTGTGGTAGGTGTTTTCTCGAGAGGCGACGACGATGTAGACGGAGTGAGCAAGGGGAAGTTTACTGTGTTCTACGAGGAGGAAAGCAAATGCGAGTCGGATGAGGAGTTGATAAAGACGAAGATAGAAGTATGTTGTGACGGCGGTTGCGGTTTCAAATCGGACTGGTAGAAGAAATGAGATAAAATGTTAAAGACGAGGATAGGATTAAATGGGTGGTACATGTATCAGGATTTAAAAGGGTGGATCGGTGGTCTTTCTTTTTTTAAGTTTAAAAACTGGCAGAAGATAAATGTTAGAAGAGGAGCAAATAAATTGAATTTTCAGTCAAAATAATACACATCAGACGCCTGCGTGTCCACTATGTAGGATTTTTCGGTCAACTTTTAGCTGAGTCAGCAAGGTAAAGGTCAAACGAGATTTTTCTGTTAGCTTGGGATGTGGACGCACCAAAAATTACTTTAGGACACTGGGTGCACTTGGAAAAATAGTTCGGGATGTTGGGCATACTTTAACCCGTCAAAATAATACACATCAGACGCCTGCGTGTCCGCCACGTAGGATTTTTCGTTCAACCTTCGGCTGAGTTAGCAAGGTAACAGTCAAACTTAACTTTTCTATTAGCCTGGATATGTATACGCCGTTTTAATTAGTTTGGGATACTGGGCGCACTTGGAAAAATAGTTCGGGGTACTGGATGCACCTTAACCCTTTCATTTAAGATAATTTTAAATTTTAAAAAGGTTAAACTGATTTTAATGAAATTTCCTAATCTAATACTCCTCCGGTACTTAATGTAGCACCTAATTAACTAATTTAGTAAATTAAGGATGTTAATTTAGTTGATGAAATTAGTTAATATGATGTGCTTTGATATGCTTTTTTTAAAATACCTAAGCAGCTTCCTTAATTTTCTCTTTTTATCTCCTACTTGATTATTGTTGGAGGAATATCAATAGGGTTAATTTGAAAAAATGTTGATAAACATATGAAATAAATTTTACATATAGGACCAACATTAACTTCCCAATTAGGTCTTACATTAATTTAATAGGTCCTTGCATTGCTTGTTTCTGCCTTGTGCTTCAGCACAAAATACGAAAAATAAGGGCTCCACATTTTTTTATTATTACAAAAGGGCAAGCCGAGGCTTGAAATAAAAGAAGAAGTGACCTAGCTCATGGAGGGTACACCCTCCCTTATTCGATGCTTATCCACTAGGATACGAGCTTTGCAACTTTCAGGCACTTTGTTTAACAAAATAAGTTCATCCGTCACAGTATGGGCTGTCCTCGCTAGAATATCAATGCATTGCAGTGTTTCTCTACATCCATAATTAATCCCCAGGTTCCAGTCTTCATATATCAGCTGTCTAGTTTCCTCAATATCTTCTCTGTAGGGGTGATCCACACCACTATCCCTCATTAGACAATTTAGAGCATCTAGAGAATCTGAGTATAACTGAATATCATTAATTCCAAGTTTCTAGCAGACCTGCAAACCAGTCTTAATTGCCATAATTTCTGCTGCTGCTATTGGGTAGATACCTAAGTTTTTTTGAAACCCAAACACCCAGTTTCCTTCCGTGTTCCTAATTATGCCTCCACAAGCTGCATGGTTTTGACTTCTAACAGAGGCGTCAACGTCAATTCTGAAGTTTCCTGCTGTCGAGGGCCGCCAATAGGCTTGGTTAGAATTGTGTTCTATGAATATCTTGTGCTTATATATCCCGTTAGCTTTCTGTTCCATGAGGTGGAATAAAAGTTGCTGGACAACCTCGTTTGGGGATCTCCCCTTCCCTTCAAATAGTTGAGTACATCTTACTTTCCAGATCAGCCAATATGTGTGGGCAAAGACCTTGTTCCATGGCCATCTTTCCATCTTTTTCCTTGCAGGATCACTCCTTGAATTCCTATTAAGCCATACTTGTAAGTCACCAGAGAAAAAAGCCGAATATGCGTTAGGAGAAATAAGTTGTTTCCACACTGTTTTGGCTTTCTCGCAATCTCTCAGAGCATGAATGACACTCTCCTCACAATGACAGCCCAGAGGGCATGTTCCGCTATCAGTAAGACCTCTCTTAGCTCTTAGGGAATTTGTGATGACTCTCTCATGGCCAACTTGCCACATGAAAAGTTTGATTTTCTCAGGCACAGGCCATTGCCATATTTTTTGCCAAACAGAATTTGTATTTGACCCTTCTGGACAGGATAACCAATATTAGGCAGACTTGACTGTAAACCTTCCATCCCCTCCATGTCTCCAATAAACCGTATCTTCCTTTGCTCTCATAGGTAGTCTAACTCTTCTAATGATCTCAATGACCGAATTGGGTAGGAAGTGATTCCAGCGATTTAAATTCCATCTCCCTTCTGGCAAAAAAAAATCTACCACCATATCTTCCATGTTGACATCTATCAAGTTCTGAGTAACACAATTAATGAGAAGGACTTCTAAGGGCGTCCACCTGTTGGTCCAAAAGCGAGTGGTCTGACCATTATTTACTTTTCCTTCCACTCCTTGCATAAATTCACTCCAACTACTAGAAATAGCCTTCCATAATGGGGAGTATGTTTTTGGTCTAGTAATTTCAGGAATCATCTGAGATCCGCATTCATACTTGGATCTTAAACACTTAACCCATAGTGCCTCTGGTCTCGTTATCAAACCCCAACAGAGCTTCATTACAAAAGCCTTATTTTGGTTTTCCAAATTCTTTATGCCTAGACCACCCGCTTTTTTGCTTTCTAAGATTTTGTGCCACGCTATAAGGTGCATTTTCTTAGAAGCTTCGTCTTAACACCACAGAAAGTGTCTACTCACCTTTTCAATCTCCTTTAAAACACCACTTGGGATCTTGGTTGACTGCATTTGGTAGGATGGAAGGGCTGAGATAACTGCTTTTATCAGCACTAGTCTCCCTGCCATGCTTAGGTATTTCCCTTTCCAAGTGGACAGCCATGATCTCACTTTCCGAATAATATGTCCAAACGTCTCCTTTGTCACTTTATTGTGGAATAAAGGGACACCCAAATACTTTCCCAAATCAAGTGTGATGCCAACACCCAGTTTCTGACATAACTGTGAGGCCCTGTTAAAGTTGATCCCTTTTGAGAAGAAAGCTTTAGATTTTTGCAAATTAATCCTATGGCCTGATTCATTGCAAAACTCACCCATGACCTTTTTAATAACCCCCATTTGAGCTGTATTGGCTTCGACAAACAAGATGAGATCGTCTGCAAAAAACAAATGGGAGATGCAAACATCATTTCCAATCTTCAGTGGTTTCCACCTTTTTTGTTCACATTCCATCTTGATACGCTGGCCCAATCACTCCATACATAGCACAAAGAGATATGGACTAAGCAGATCGCCTTGTCTCATACCTCTTGAAGGAGTAAAGGTGTCGCCTTCTTTTCTATTCCACAGGATTCTCATCTCTACAGTACTCACGCAAGCCATAATCACATCTAATAAGCCTTTTTCCAATCCAATGCATTGTAGGGTACTTTCCAAAAAGCTCCAATCAAGCCTATCATAAGCCTTCTCCATGTTCACTTTAACTGCAACATATTTTTTCCTTCCATCCTTTCTACTCATCATATGTATAGCCTCCTGGGCTATAATAATATTGTCATAGCTGGATCTATTGGCAATGAAACTACATTGTTCTGTACTCACTAAGTGACTCATAATTCTTTGGAATTTGCTAGCGATCAACTTTGTAATGATTTTGCATCTTACATTACAAAGTGAAATAGGTCGCAGATCCTTAATAGATGTTGGTTGGTCAACTTTTGGGATTAGGACCATATTAGTCTGGTTGATTTTCGTGATAGAGTTCGGGTCTAAGAAAGCTTCTTTAATTAGCTTGCAAACCACTCCCCCCACCTTCTCCTATTGAGTGTGAAAAAAGTGTGCCTGGAGTCCATCTGGTCCTAGTGCTTTAAAGGCACCAATAGAGAAGGCAGCATTTTTTATCTCTATATCTTCAATTTTGGTATGTAGCATTTGCAGATCCATGGCTGAGAGAGGTTGAAATCTATTCAGCCAGGAGGTGTAAGCATAGGCAGCATTATCCTTTGTATATAGCCTCTTGTAGAACTGAGTAGCCATTTCATGCATCTGAGACGTGTTGCTTATCCAAACTCCATTCTCATCCTGGAGAGCTAGAATTCTCTGTTTTTTCCTCTTGATTACCGTAGAGGTGTGGAAATATTTAGTATTTTTATCTCCCCACTACAGCCACTGACATCTCGACTTTTGGTACCAAATAAGCTCTTCCATGAGTACCAGTTTATTATACTCTTCCCATATTTTCCTTTCTACATGAGTTAAACCGTTGTTGACTTGGGTTCTTCTAGTATGTTCAATGCCCTCCAATCTCCTTAATAACTGTTTCTTTCACTTTGGGATGTTCCCAATATAATCATTATTCAATTTTGTAGCTAGCGTCTGGAATTGATCAACTCCCATGCACCAATCTGTCTCAGTCCACGCCCTTTCCACTATAGAGTTGAACCCCTCTTCCAGGAACCACCTAGCTTGATAGTGGAATCTTCGTCTCACCTTTACTTGCCTCGAATTATTGCTCTAAGACATCACGATCAGTTTGTGATCAAACTTGTATTTTAGATCATGTGTGACACAGCTTTCTGGATTGGCTATCTCCCATGCCAAGTTACAGAAGACCCAGTCAATTTTCTCTTGCACTCTGTTTCTTTCCCATGTGTATTTAGATATGGGGTCTTGTATTTCTAGGAGTCCCGCATCGCTGATATAGTCATTGAAATTTGCCATAGAGATCATATGATGGTTAACGCTACCTATCTTGTCCGACGATGAACGATAGGCATTAAAGTCTCCCAATAAGATCCAAGGATCCTCAGTGAATTCTGTGATGGCTTGAATGGCTTCCTATAACGTAGTTCTCCTGGTATAACAGGTTTCACCATAGACAAAAGCGGAGAAGAAATGAGAGGAAGTACCAATTCTAGTAATCTGACAATGTATGAATTGTTCACCAGAGGCAATCAGCTTCACCTCGAAATCCCACTCGTTCCAAAGTACCCAAATTCCCCTTGAATAGCCCGAGGCCTCAACCGGGATCCAATTGTTGAACCCAAGTCGTTGAACTACTCTGTCGGCTTTGTCTCCACTGATACGTGGCTCAATAAGACACAAAATCCCAATCTAATTTTTGTGAACAATATCCTTGATAATAAGAGGGAAGGGCCAGCTTCCAGCCCCCTTACAATTCCAACAGGCAATATTCATATTAACCGAAATCAAAAGGAGAGAACCCATAGGATAGTTTACTTATCCTTTGTCGTGTTTAGAACCACTTCCAACTCTTCGGACCTCTCATCGGCCAAGTTTGCGGCTGCATCTTCCATGCTTTCCATGTCACTCTCCCATTTCTTCGCTTCGAGATCTGGTGGTTCAGGGTCATCATGGACTATCATTTTCACGCGTAGGTTATCTGATCCTTGTCCATTTGTAATAATATTTTGTTTTGACTATTGCATTGTTGGTCTTTGTTTATTTTTGGTGGTTTCTGTGGGATTACCCAATGTCGTTGCACTAGTGGGCTTACTTCTACATTCCATTTGTCCACTGACCACCACATGAGTTCGTTGTCTTGGGTTCTTGGATCTATCTTTTGTATTCTGACCCACTAAGGCCCATTCTTGTCGGGTTTTAGCTTCATGAGAAATCACTTGCTCTGCTACCTTAATTGTTGAATTAACTTTGGGCTTTTCAGGTATTTTGCCCTGGGCCTTTTGTTGAAACTTGGGCTTGCTTAATATTTTGGAGCTCCCTCCATTTTTTGTGCCTGCCGCCATCTTTGTATAGGAAGCTGTCACTTGTTTCTTTTTCCCTGAGTTAACCAGCATCTGCTCCTTCTTAGTCTGACTACTTACTACTTCTATGCTATTTCTTAGCTCCCTATCATCTGTTCTTTCATTGTCCAACGCAACCAGCGCTGCAAATCGTGATTTAGCCAAAGGTGTATCAGCTCTCCTGACACCTTTTGCTCCCTGTTTAGGCTCACTTTGTACTTCTTGTTGGAATTTGTTCCTTGAAAATCGAGATTTGGAGGATCCCGTGGTAAACATCCACAGACTGAAGGTGTCATTACCCGTTAGTCTTGAGTTTACCGTTCGCGTCTCTGGTTGCATCTCCGGTGGGTGGTGGGTTGGAGCAGCTGTACTAGTGCTTGCAGAGTTCTGTTGAGTAGCTTTTTTCCATGGGCAGACTTCCCTTCGGTGGCCATATATACCACATTCAAAGCATATAAGATTGAGACCTTCATGCCCCATATTGAAAGCTTCGTTGGCCACGATCAGTCTGGGCACAAGTTGTTTTTGCAGATCAAGTTCAACACACAACCTTGCATACCTTCCCCTTTCCACTTTGGCATTAGAGTCCATCCGATCCAAGAGTGTGTTCAAGTCCACCTGGAATGGTCGACCAATCCTCTCACCCACTTTGGTAATGCAATGGCTATTGTAGCAATGCATGGGTATATCAGGTAATCGAACCCAAGTAACAATGCGACCTAGTTGGTTTTTGAAGGGGTCGAAATATGGCATCCACCGTTGCACCAAGATGCAGTGCTGTGGTCCATGGCCCTTCATATAGTACCTTCCTATATTGTTGTTTCCAGAGTTCCTTGTTTGTGAACTTAACTACAAAGTAGTTATTAGGCAAGTTGATCATATCAAAGTCCTAGAAACCCCACATACGCATCAAATGAGATTTCAACATATAGAGATTATATCTTCTTCCCAAGACTGTGATTATTAAGGAGAAGTTCCATGGTTTACACCATTCGTTGTATTCTTCCTCTGAGACAGGAACCACAGGATATAACTCATAAGTTTTCTAATCTCCTCCATGGGTTCTGACATATTCCAGAATATGTCTTCATCATTTAAAAATAAATCTTCTGCTTCCATGCTTATACTTCCGTTCGCCACTCCGTTAAAACCCATCAAGGATTGCTTGTAGGATGGTCTTGGTTCCTTGTTCTGAGTTACCCCTGCTTTTGGCGGTGCACCCACCTCTCTGGTTTTCTGTGTCATGCTCCCCTCTTCTGCAGTTTCTTTTTTCTCCAAGTTACTTTCTTTTGATTCCTTATCCTCCATGTTGTCGTCCATGATGGCTGTTACTATCTCATCCAGTTTCTTCTTCTTTTTCCTGTTTGTCTTAGATGTGTCCAATGGCCAGTCCGACGGGTTCTTGCGTTGACCTGTGTCTTCCATGTACACGCAAAAGTTTGGCACAGATACTAAGAGAGAGAAAAAATCACAAAGTTCTCGTCGACAATTTCAGCTTGGTGGTTCTTTGATGAGCCATAGGGCTCCACATTATTGACTAAACAACAGTATCAATTAAGGGAGTGATAGTTTGGTCAGTATCAATTCCTGATTCATTCGCAGATGAATAGCAGAAATTCATGGAAATCTCATAGTAAAAATTTTATTTCTCTTCATGCCCGAGAAAAAGAAGATTTTTATGGGACTAAGAAAAAGTAATAGACCATAAAGAGTCACAAATTTTTTATTTTGCTAAGGGGTATCAACAAAAGAATTCCACTAAATTGCAAGCTGCAAGAGACTTGTGCTTTACTAAAAAGTTTAAAAAAAAAATCTTAAAAAGTGTTGTTTCCGCCTTGTGCTTTAGCAAGTCCTTGTTTCACTTGTTTCCGCCTTGTGCTTTAGCACAAAATAAGAAAAATAAGGGCTCTACATTATTAACTAAACTTGGTATTAACTGAGGGAGTGATAGTTTGGTCAGTATCAATTTCTAGTTCATTCGCAGGTGAATAGTAGAAATCCATGAAAATTTCATGTTAAAAATTTTATTTCTCTACATGCCAAAAAAAAAAAAAAGAATTTTATAGGACTAAGAACAAGTGATAGACCATAAAGAGTCAAAAAAATTTTATTTTGCCAAGGGGTATCAACAGAAGAATTACACTAAATTGTAGGTTGCAAGAGACTTGTACCTTACCAAAAAGTCCAAGAAAAGAAAAACATATTAAAATTTTTCTAACAGTTAATAGGTCCTTGTTTCGTTTGTTTCCGCCTTGTGCTTCAGCACAAAATAACAAAAATGAGGACTCCACATTATTAACTAAACAATAGTATCAATTGAGAGAGTGATAGTTTGGTCCGTATTAATTCCTGATTTGTTCACAGATGAATAGCAAAAATTCATGAAAATCTCATGGTAAAAATTTTATTTCTCTACATGCCCAAAAAAAAAAAAGATTTTTATAGGACTAGGAACAAGTGATAGACCATAAAGTGTCACAAATTTTTTATTTTGCCAAGGGGTATCAACAAAAGAATTCCAATAAATTGCAGGTTGCAAGAGACTTGTGCCTTACTAGAAAGTTAAAAAAAGAAAAGCATCTTAAAATTTTTCTAGCAGTTAATATTGATCTATAATATACAGATTCTTTTTCATTGTGGTCACTTTCCTGTCCATTGAACATTGCTTCTTCCGCCAAAATAGGCCTTGTCTTCCTCGGTAAGTACAAAATTTCCACTGCGTAGGATAGGATGATCTTGATGGTAACAGAGAAAGGAAACAAGTTGCTAAGGTGGTCAAAGAAGCAAGATTCAGGGAAACCCCTTTTTTTTTTCCCCCTTTTTGCAGTCTCCTTTTGACTAAACAATCACAAATTAACACAGTTCTGAATTGCAAGTATTGCATCAGGCTGCCAAAAGTGTTTACAGTATATGAACGGACAATATGAGTGTTATTGAAGGAATCAATTTGATCAAATGAACATGAGCTTTATGGTTTGTAATGCGGACTCTGGAATGGACATATCAGTCAATAGCTTTCTGCTTTGGCAGTTTGGCCTTTCATCCTCTTCCTTACATTAGTCCCAGGTTTTCTGGTTTGCCCTCGAGCTTGCTTTTCACGCCTAGCAAGAAAACATACCAAAGAATAGTCGGGTTTATATCTGCAGAAACAAAATGCTCTGGCAACTTCAAATTGTGTGATCCTACTGCACTCTTATTTTCTGGTAAAGGGTATTTTCACGAAATCTCACATTGGTCATGGGTTGAGAATTATAAATTTAATCTCTTTCACCAAAAAAGTCTGAGTTTCGAGTTTATATAGCTCCAATAATCCTACTAATACAACTAATATCTGATTTACTTGCATACTTCTACAACTAAATAACCAAACATGGATATTGAACTGTGTGAGATCTAATTTTCCAATGTTCTTTGATAGCTCAACGGTAGAGCAGTCAGCTTTCTGCATTTTTTTCTCTCTCCTCCTCCTTTGGGGTAAAAAGTATGTGAATTTGGTTGCATGAAAATAGCATAACTTTTGTATGTTTAAAACTGGTGATCTAGATCATTCTGGTTAGTGCTTATCTTCTGGTTAATTTCAAATATTTGACACTGCAAAATTGAAAAAAATTTGTAGATGTGAATTGCAGGCATGGTTTAGCCACAGTTAAATTTGAAAACAAGTAGATAAGTCAACACTTATCGAAAACCACCAAAACCATGGTTAATGCAAAACCAAATATGGTTTTAAGCATTTCAATAGTGAAATGCATCATTTAAGCACATTTTTAAGAAGTTAAGTGTATCTCAAAACAATTGAGAAAAAGGTCATGCTACCTATAAAGCATTAACTTCTAGAAACTAATAAAATTCCCACAAACAGTGAAATTCTTCTTTTAAAAAAATCGATTAAAACGAATGGCTGGTCAGAAGATTAAGATTACTCGGTTAAAATGCTGGAATGAAGAAGACGTTTTATACTTACTGATGAGAGTTCTTATCTTTAATCCTCACAGTGTCATTTCCTCCAGTCTCCATGGTCGAAACTTCCAGTTCTAGGAAATAGCTGGACTTTCCTTTCGCTTCACTGTGAGGAGAAAGACCAGTGTCATGGTGATCAGTACAACTGTTTTCAGGGGTAAATCTTGAAACAAAGAATGACATGGTTGACTGAGATGCTCTAATTTTTTGAGAAAGGTCCATGTTTATTGGATCATACTGGTTGGAAGGAGCAATATCCTTGTCCTCATTAGCAGACTGGGAGATAGACATGGATACAGCTTCCGAAGAATCCTTTCAAGATAAAAAGCAAAACAGTAGTATCATTACACCTGATCTCAATATATTGCCACTTACACTTGATTACAGATTTAGGTGAGGACATGAATAATGGAAGTTATCAAGAGCCTTAAATGCAAGTAACAAGAGAATGTTGCTGAAAATTAGTAACATTTTCTAATACGAATAAAGCAAACACAAAAGTGTACTTCAAGAGGTAGTGATAATGGATGATAATAAAAAGGGAGGAATTCCGACCTCCATTGTTCTTTCATTGAAGATATCTGACTTATCAAGTGATATATCCTTCTCTATAGAAGAGCAAGACACATCATCATCACCAACCAGTCCTCTAACTGGATCTTGATCTCCTCCAAATAATTCTTCAAAGTTTTGGAATGTTAAGTCAACGTCAGGTATGTTAAAATCATCTTGACAAATTAGTTCTTCACATATCCCAAGGTCTTGAATATGATGAGACCATAACTGCAAAAAAATTAATAAAACCTCGGATATGATGTCATCCAGATGAAAGCTACTGAGAAACCAGTATAATTTAAACAAAAGGAGGTATAAAAATTGGTAAAGAAGGAAATCCTTTATGTTGCTTATTGCAGCAAAACACAGACTAGAAGGGCAAAACCAGTGGCCTGATTAGAGGGCCAACAAAAAAGAACAGAAAATCATCAAACCTGATTGCTTTGAGATGGACTTTTGCAAGTCCAAAAGACCTCGCTGTTTAAGGGAAGGTCTGCCATTGGAGGTGAAGGTAAGTTATCAAGTTCAGAGAATGTGGATGACAAACTTTCAAGCCTCAGTTCTGCCGCGGGGCTGTCTCTTTCCTGAAGATTATTATTAAAATCCTGGGGATTTTGTGTATGCCGGTCACATTTTTCATCATAGTTCTTTCGGGTATGATGCATCGAAGAAGATGAGACTGTTTCTTGCAGCCCATTTATCAGGGCAGAATGATTAGTGTTCTCACAGACCTGAAGTCTTTTCAAATCAATAATTTGCTGCAAAATAATTTGTCTCTCTTGATCTTTTAACAATTTCTGCACGATAGAGTTCAAAACTGAGAAAATGACTTTAATAAATGACTTATCGGAATGAAACATATTTGCATTCTAGAATCCACAATTACAGATTTCATCTCTATAGCGAAAAAAGAAGTATTAAAATTATCATCCCGCCTACCTGACTTTGTCGACTGCTAGATGCCCCATCAAATTTGGCCCCAGATACCATTGAACGGCCTCCAGTTTGATCACCAGACTTTCCCGAGAGATTTACTGCATTCAAATCTGTAGAACTTCTGTTTTCTATCTCATTTAATTCAAAACCCCAGAGTACAGCAAAATCTTTGGCAGAAGGGCAACCCATATAACTTCTGATGGCTCGTTTCTGGTGTTTTAAGGATGGATCATGCAGCTTCTGATCACAGCCACGGCAGATCAAAATTTGGTGATCCAAACACTGCACATAAGCAAAATGGTTTCTACATAGGTTACATACAAGAGTTCTGAGGTGGCGGCTGGACAGTGCATTGGCTTTGTGGACCTTTGCGTCACAGGATAGACAAAGATATGCTTCATCAGCTTTACAATAAACCACTGGCCTCAAAGACGTGCAGAATTCACAAGCTCTTTCCATTCCCTTTGTTTTCAAAGGCCAAAGGAACAATATAATGTCATACTATGTCCATTATAAGAGATCTAAACAATAAAATAAGAGCTGATATAAAACATTTAGCCAACAGCTAAAATCAGAAAAAAGAAAAGGGTTTGTTTGCATAAACTTGAATCATAACAACAAATACCAAGGAAGTGATTGTGAATAGTCCTATGAAAAAAACTGAGCTAGTATTGATAAAGATTTTAACTGAAACTCCAAAGAAAAGTCTTAAAAAGATCATTAGTCTTCAAATACACAGATATGGTGAAGGCGTTGTAAGCATAGAAGTACCTGATAATCTGATATCTGAAATTCAAAAGCCAAATGAATGGAAATTCAGCTACAGCCCAGGACTTCTACCACTCAAAGTAGTTACCAAAAAAGACAACCAAGCTGCAATCCAAAATCATAACTCCTTAGATAAAACTGAATGAGATCTCAACAACGGAAGTAGCAAATCAATCCCAATACAAAGCCGAGACATCCCATCCCATCCCATAGTACCAATAAGCACGAAGCTCTTGTGAACTTTGAGGAGCATGCAGTTGAAAATTAAGCGTTGACGCACTTTTGGGACAATCTCATCATGACTTTTACAGCTGAGAAGTAAAAGAGACGTACCCGTGATTGTTGTTTCCCAAGAAAATTTTTGCAAGAAGGAAATAAAAATAGGAATTCCTCCAGGAAAGCAAACAGAAAGTGGGGATTATTGTTGTTATAGCACAGAAAAGCCAAAAGGGTGATAAATTTTCCTGGAAAAATGAAGGCTTTTGAGGATGAGGATCTTGCCTATGCTTTTCATTTCATGTGGGCTTGCTTTTGTATCATGGTGGTTCTGGGTTGCGTTGGTCGACGCTTCCTCATGGGGCAGTAATGAATGTAATGTAATGTTTAGCCATTTGGGATGACGTGGGAAGATCTGACCTTGAACTTTCCAGCGTGGATGAGAAGACGTGGATGGGGGATGTGGGTCCCACTGACGTTATCCAAATAAGACATGTGAAGGAAGGAACGTTGTTCTGTAATCCAAAAGGTTAGCCGTGTCGGACCAATGGGAGGCTGCCATGCCATGTGGCCTTCAAACGACGTCGCTTTCAACTCTCCGGGACGGACGGAGACCTCTCGTAGGGACCACAAATACGCTGGGGAGGACTCAATAGTCATAAGTCGTGACTCACGAGGTGGCTATAATCTATAGTTACCATAAGGAAAAATAATTATAAAGTTTCAGGAAAAATATAATTATTAAAAAATTTGAATCACAACTAAGTAATATGTAATGAAAAGTTTCAAATGACAATAACTCAATAATACTTTTAGTCTTAATTATAAGACCTCATTTATAGATTACAAATGAGGTCTTATGATTAGAATCAGAGGTAGTACTTCACTTGTAATTGGAATTTTTAATAATTACATTCTTTTCTTATGATCTTATAATAATTTTTTTTGAATTGGTTTAACATTTTAAATAGTTTGTTTATTAAGTTAAATTTTCATAGAATATGCTAAAAATAAAACTTAATTATTTTTGTAGTTTCAGCTTGTAGTCTTAAAACTAACCACACTTCATGAGTGTGTAGATGGAAACGAAACATAATTTTAAAGAAGATTTTATGGTATATGAAATAAATATGTGGAGGAATTTATCTTGATTTATCGAAAAGTATTTTTTAAAAGTACTTTTATAATTTTCCAAACAACCCCTTATTTTCAAAAGCACTTTAAAAAAAATGATTTCACACGAATTGAGACAAAACTCCTCTCACAACATACTCCTTCGATCTTTAATATATGACCCAATTTTTGAGTTGGTTTTTGTCCTAAATATAAGACCCATTTCTCATATTTATCAATTTTCTCTAAATTACCCCTATGGATACTCCCCCAACCATAATCAATAGAAGAGGGAGAGAGGGGGTATTAAGAAAGATGATTATAATGTTTTAGAAAAAATGTGTCACTTTTATTATAATTAATTAACTTACCTAACTTCCGTAATCTAATCAAATTAGTTAAATGGGTCTTATATTAAGAATCGGAGGAGTACTTAAAGAGGTGTGACTCATGATTGAAATTAAAATCTTTGGCAAAGATAAAAGTGACAAACTTTTGAATCAGTTCACCATAATACCTAACAATACAGGAATTTATTAGGGGGGAAGCTAACATTTTCCAGAACAGAAGCATAGCTACAAGGAATCGAATCTGACCACTTGCAAGCAAAGCTTAGATAATTGAGATGTCGTGAATTTCTTTATCAAAGAATGAGGATCTAAATTAACCTTTAAGTGTACAATTTGGTTTCTTTTCTTCTCTTCCAAATCATATTTAAAAAATAATAATTTGTTTCACAATGTACAAGTCCTTATTCTTCAAAAGAGAAGAAATTATATGCCTTACCCAGGATGTAGCATCCTGTTGCTGAATTAGATCGGTTCAAATATCAAATTCCAAAAGGCATAAAAATGACACAATAAAGTGATTAGCTTTGAAAATTCTCCCAACTGGTAGAGAAATTCCATATAAAAAGCAAATGTTTATATGGAAGTTGAACTTTTCATATATTTGCCGAAAAAGAGGCCTACCTTTGTTGATAAGGAATGCAAAAAGGACTGGAGAGAGTATTCTGTGGAGGTTAGATGGAATAATTAATGATGTTATGTTGGTATGTTGTTATTTGAAACTAACATGGTCCTCGTTCCAAGCAGTTGGACATTTTATTTTCAAGAAAACACCACCATCATCATCATAATAATAATAATAATAATAATACAAGGAGAAAAAAAGACAAATTTCAGTACAACAGTTGAAGGTGTTGCTGGGGAACACTTTACTGGGCTTAGATTAGAAGAACAACATAGTAAACGCAATTAAAACAAATTACTAAACGTAATAGGTCAAATCAAATAGGCCTCGTCCACAAAAGAGGGGGGAAAAAAGAATGTGAAAAAAAAAAAAAACCTTTTATGGCATGGAAGATTCTAGTGGCATTAAGTTGGACATAATTTGCCCCGAAAAAGAAAAAAGATAATTTTGATGCAAAATTTGAAGATGAACTGATATAGAAATAAGTCAAATTTTATTGCAAATTGAAATGCCATGGTCTTGTCATCGTCTCATCGCTCCATTCGAACAATTTATCGCGAATTATATAAGATATATATTGTCTTGAAAGTATTTACGTTTCTCTTTAACAGTTTAATCCGACAAAGGATCAATGATTTCAATGAATTAGGAAAAAAAAAGAAAAAAGAATCAAATCCATATACGTCAAATGGAAATCTGCATATTGTGTAAACGGATGTGCTCACAGTTACTTTTTCTGGTTTTCACAAAAAAATCTAGCCTAATTGAAGAAAATCAGGACATAAATTATTTTCATAGGAGAATCTTCCCTGCTCCTTACGAGAGCTTCTAGTGATGAGCACAAATTTGAACCGTTCATATTGAAATCAAAAGGTCCAAATTTAATAGAAAAATCTTACAAAAAAAAAAACTTAAAATCACTAAATTATTAGATTTCAATGCTCATCACTATAATGAACACCAAAACTAGAGTCTTTCTTATCATCCATTGAACACATGGCCAACGAAAGCAAGCACGGAAACAAACATAAGAGTTGCACCATTTTGTAAAACAAGAAAATGGAGTTTGATATACTCGATCTTAAATATATGACCTATTTTATAGTATAATTTACATTGCAAAATGAGTTGACAGGAGGGAGTATTATATTGCTCCAGCGCTAGGGACCCCATGACATGTGCAATCTGGTCATTTAAGATCCTCAGTAGATATGGTACCATTTGTACCATTAAGACACCAAAATATGGGAAATGGAGGACAATGACCAAATTCTGGTCCCAATGCCGATGCAATGAACTACAAGTCATGTGGGCCCAGGAATTTTTTCACTTTTTATAGCTAAACACATCTCTTCAATATCAATGGCGCACATTAAATCCTGATCATCACCATTGCACTTGCATGTGTTTGCCGGTAGTGGAACACACTAATTTTTCACAATCAACTCCCTCTCCACCAACAGAAAACATGCACTCAAAATGTTCCAAAGACCTAATCATAAGATGACCCACTTTGACCAACTCAACTGGTTCATTTTGAAAACGCGACTCACACAGACCATGAAGTTCATTTAATGGTCCAAAAAGCAGCATATCAGTAAATTCAGAATACAAATAATTCCAAGAAACGGAAATATACATTGAGTGAAAGACTTGTTAATATTAAGTTATTGACACAATTCATTTCAACCAAATATCTCCATTCAACTAGATCATGATAAAAGGTGGTCAACTTATAAAAAGTGCAGAAACCCTAGCATGATTCACGTCTAAGAATAGGTACAGCACACTGTCAACAACCCTATACCATATAACCAAGAAAATCTACCAAACCGGTGTTTCAGAATAAATTCATAAATTCTAAGCTGTACAATTGAGTCAAATATTGCATCTATATCAAAAAATACACCGTTTTCTCATAAAAGCATTATGAGATTAACTTTGAAGGCAATGTAACTCCCAGAAGAGGCACAAAAAAGGGTTGATTTCAGTTCCATGATTGAAGCAAGAGCCTGAATCAGAAAAGTATTGGTGAGATATATATCAATACAAGAAAGCACCATCATCTTCACATTTACTGTCAGAGGCAAAATGGTCCATTTTCTAACAACATTAGAACCCAAAGCCCCAACTAGGATCAAACACATCCACAGTATTTTTTTACCTAAATTATGGCCACTACTAAAGTCTGAACAAGGGTCTCTTGACAGCCTCGCAAAGCAAAACCGGTTTTGAGAAATTATTGACATTATCTCAGTAAAACAGCACAGTAAGTAGAACCCAAGCATAGCTCCACTTCTATTATCAAGTAAGCTGAGGTTCGTTCATAAAAAGATTGAACAAACTTATCTGTGTCATCATTTGAAAATTTTGAATGACAACTTAAAACTAAGACAACCGCTCATGAAACAGAAAATAACAGACCAGAAACAGAATTTTAAGAAGTGATAACACATCACACCTTGGTCAGCTTGACTTCACATGAACTTCAATGATATCATCATCTTCCATCCCAAGGCCACCAGGAGTTTGGGACGGATTAATTCTATCCCCATCAAAAGAAAATACTAAATGTGTCTGGTCAAGCTTTACTTTATCTGCATACATTTTGAAGATCCGTTCAAACTTGTCATCCTAAAAAAGTAGACAAACTTCAAATCAATCTTATGACATCATAGCATAAAGTGAAGTATGAATAAGGGGGAAGGGGGAACAGAGAGAAAGAACCGTCAAACTACATTTTCAAAGGATGGGTAGCAGAATGAAAATGTAACCCAAAGTACTGGAGAAAACTTTTTCATGAGAAAAGAAATCGTGCCTAAATCTCAGCAACTCAAATAAGCAGGTCAGTATTCTTCTCCCAAAAAAGCTTAAGAGAATAACAGTTGAACTAACATATTCACATCGTAAATAGAATAGAACAAAAGTTTGCCACGCAATTCTAACAGTTGGCTGTTGCTTAAAAGAAATAGCACAGCTAGTTCCCACTTTCAACATGATTTAATGTATATAGTGGCAGAAGCACCACAAATAAAGGGTACGTCAGACAGATGTTGATTCAAAGTTAGCAAAATAATTAATAGCCTTGGATAACTCAACAGTTACTAATAACAACAGAAAATTTAACAACACCGTATATATGCTAAAGGAATTGAACACAATATATATTATATACCATGTACACACGAAACTGCTTCACTCCATCCTTGTCTTGTATAGAGATGACAACCTTAACTCTTTCAGATGGTTTTGATGTTTTCTCAATTGCAGCATCCACAGAAGTCTGCAATAAATTATCAAGCTCCCTCTTTGCAGACTCCTTAACTTCTTGTAGCATGTCTTTTGCAGATTGTGCAAATGAGACAAGCTCCTGCTTTTTTAATCTACATGCAAGAACCAATTGTTGAAGCAACTACGAAACAATAGGAGAGAGAATAATATGGAACACTTCAGCATCTTGTCAGAAACAGAAAGATGCAAAATGTCTGGCTCATCTAAAAATCAAAGACAATCTTATGATTTCCTGCCCCCTGAAAGTCAGAGAGAAACTTTGCACATTTTACACAAATTTCCAATGATGAAACACACACACACACAGAAACTAAACGCAATATTAGATATAACACACAACCACACATGTAAATTATTTTCCTTATCATTGGAGTTGGTTTCTACATGATCACAGTAGTTTCTTCGTTCAAATATCATCCTTTTTCCTGTGGCCTGATTTCAAAAGTCATCACTTAATTTTTCTTGATATTTCAATTGTATTTTATATGGTAAAACCATCAATAAGGGAGACGGAGGAACACCATATGCCCACCTAGGTGGCCAAAAAAATTGATGGAAGCCCACTATCTTACATGGCCAATCACCCTCTGTCTCCTTATATTTTTCTTCTGTCAATGAGCTCTCCAAACTCTCCTCTAATAATAACCCAAAACAAGCAGTCCGAACAGCATTTCCTTGCTACAAAAATAAAGGTAGCATTTGTAGAATGTCAAGTCCATCAAGTAAATTAAGACACCGCTGGGTCTACCAGAGTTATTTCTCTTTCAACATTTTTCTTGTCCAGCATGGTGGCTAATGGAGGGGTTATAAATTCAAATGATCAAACCCATAAGGTTGACTGAATGTGTAGTCAAAGATAACTGATAAAAAAGAAGATACATTTCAGGTTGGACTTTGTCATTAAGAATAAAATAGACACAGATAGAGTTTTCCTAACAGGCAAAGAAATAGAAAGACAAATAATTCCCAATGGAGGAACTTTGCAGGGTTGGATTCTGGCTCATGCAGTATCACTTAACATTTTTCTCCCCAAAATTACAAGAAACCCGTATGATTTTGTAATGTTGTGAAATGAAAACCAGCACTTGTGCATTACTCCATAGTCAAAAAATTGACGGGACCTGCGGAATAGTGCATCTAAGGTTTATAGCAAGAAAAGGAAAAACGTGGAAGACAGCACATGTAAGGAAGGTGAAAGAATATTCAAATATCCTAGAAAAGGAAAGAAGGATGATACGGTTGGAAGAGAAAGTCAGGGAATCAACACCACGTTTATACAGTTTCATTAGAAACCAAGATCATTTCAATGTGTTAAAATTTATGTTTTCCTAATCCATTTAATTCAGAAAACAGACCAGATGGCAGTAATGCCTTCTCTTCTTTATCCATTCCAACCTATTACCAGTTATAGTTCTTCATGCACGTATGGATGTACACGAAATGCATAATTTTCGTCTCCAAAACCATGTCACCATGCCCCTTCAACTTCTCTAATTCTTATAGTCAGCTTTCAGCAGTGTCCGGCTCAGCATCACAAATAACCTAACTACTTGATTCTTTTAGCTTCGTACCAAAGTTAGCAGCCACCAAATGACACCAGTCCCCAACAAAATCAAGGGTGTATTTTGGGCATCAAAGAAACCCCGCCTTTTCAATATCCCCAGATGCCCACTCTCCCACCACACACACGCACACAAGCACAGACGCACGCGAATAATAGAATGCTCAGACCTCAACTCCTTTAATGTTGAATCCTCCGCAAGCGACTTCGATGCATCTCTCGAGACCTTTGGTGGAGGAGGTAGCCAGTCATCCTCTTTATCCTCAATATCGACCACCTCCACCGATTTCTCTTGATTCTTACCATTCATAACCTAAACAACGTAATAGTTTCAAAAAACTTAGAAACGAAGCATTCATTCGAGGCAAATTAGATGAGATTAGAGGTATAAGTTATATTACAGGATGACAAGTCTTCCTCTTTTTACCAGCATAAACCACGACCTCGTCCTCCTCGTCGTCTGCCAGAAATACAGAATTTAAAAGTCTCCGACAACATAAAATACAGAATTCAAAAGATTCTTGCTTCACAGGCTAAAACTACATGGACAATAATAACTTCCTCCCGAAAATAGAGGACATTAATAGTAGATAAGAAGGAAAAAGAACCTTCGAGGCACACAACATGACTAGGTTGTACACGTCTGTAATCAAACAAGGGCTCCAGTTCTTCCTTAGATTCCGCCTACATTGAAAAAACCCAGGGTTTAAGAAATCAGATTAAAGAAAAGTTATGAAATTTACTGAAGCAATTCAGAATTGAATTGTACGAGATAAGATTCAAACCATAGCAAAGACTTCGGTGAAGCTCCCTCGTTCTCCCTGCCCTGTTCTTTTTGTATACTATTTTCAATATCCCGCCTGAAACTCGAAATTGTACTGCCTTCATCGGATTTGCAGGAAAAATTAATAATAAATAGACGAAAAATTAATATATGAGTATTTATAATATAATAGGAAAATCTATAAAAAAAAACCTCTTAAATTTTAAGATCCCAAATCAAAAATTAAATATTTTTTCATTTATTTTTTAAGCATAGTTAATTGTTGATTTAAAATTTTAAAATTCAGTATGTATTTTTTGGGATTACTCTATTTGTAATTTATAGTTGGAAAAATTACTATAAAATCTTTTAAAAAATATAATTATTAAAAGACTCAATAATAACAAAATATCATATCAGGATGCATTGATAAGTTTCAGTATAAAAAGTAACAACTTTTTACTCGTTACAAAAAAAAATTTTATAATAATTTTTTTTCTTAGGACTCAAAACAATTCTCCTTTTATAATTTCAGCTCATTTTCAATTAAGTTTTTGTGGTTTTCTTATTGAGTCCTTATAATTTTGATCTCTCCTCTCATAATTTGTTAATTTGTGAGAGAAGTAGAAGCCAAGACATAGCTCTTACCCAGCATATACATAATAATTTTGTTGCAAGGATAAGTAAAAGCAAAATCAACGACACTACAAAAATTTATGAGTATAATAACTTTTATTTTTATATCGACAATAAACAAATTTTATTTTTAAAAACTTTCTTTTCATATACTTTCTCCTGTAATTTTTATAAAAACCCGAAATTTAAATGGCCTTGATTCTTTTTATGGGAACTTAATTGATGTTGTTTGAACATTTAATATGTTTTTACTATTTTTCTCCTAATTAATTTTATATATTACGTTAATTAAAAAGTTGGCAACTTGTCATATTATACTCTCTTTCATACCTTGTCTCCTTATTATTCCATTTTTCTCTCTTACTTATCCTCTTATAAATAAATAAATAGGGACATACTATTTTCGGTACTAATTATAAGAGTTAGTTTACTAATTTGAGGATATTAAGAAAATAAGTTAAGTTAGTTTTTTGAAATAAATATGTGTTATTTTTCCTAAAATATTCTTGCTAATCAAGCATATCGATTATAACTATCATTATTAGAAGGACTATTTTGGAAAAAAAATACATAAATATGAGAGACAAAGTGGATTGAGATCTTATATTTAGGACCAAAATAAAAGTTAAATAAGATATTATATTAAAGACCGAAGGTAGTACTTAAAAAAAAGTTCATTCTTTTTATATACTTATTATTTTAAATTAATTTAAACTTTTTTTTTAAATTGCGTGATTTAGATTAGAATAGGGGAAAATGACACATAAAGAAACCTGAAATTATAAAATGCCAAAATGGGAAGCTAAGCAAATGTATTACCAGGTAGGGAAGTGTTGCCTGATTTGGGATTATGCAAATGTTGGGTAATTACCAAACAGCCCCTCATGATCCAAACAAAGAAAATGACCAGTGGAAGTGTGCAAGTTGTAGCGGGAGCTGGAGGAAAAACTTCGGAGGGACCATGAACGTGGGATCATAAACGCGTGAAGCAAGAGCTGAACAAAGTAAGCAAGTGAGGTTAGTATTCAGGTTATATTGTTCTTCTTTCTCTTTTGTCCATCTCCTTTATGCGCTAGTTGATTTTCCTCTTCCTGTTAGATGGCAATGTCGATGTGGGGATGGTTTTGAGGTGGACAGGGTGGCGAAGCAGGGAGATGGTGTGGGTATATAGAAACTGTGGGGAAGGACGGTGATCAGAGGGTGAATGCATGGGGAAGGAAAAACACTGAGGGAGAGGGGTTTGATGGTGTCATAAATGGGTTAGAGTGATTAGTGTCAGATAAAGGCACAATGTTGAGGGGAGATTTGAATAATGGAGTGGATTGATTCTGAGAAAATAAAGCATTAGTGTGGACAGGAAAGAAATGAGTGTTTTGTTACAAATTATAAGCATAAATGTGTCAAACCCTAAGTTGGTCGTGTAAGTTGATGATGATGGTATTAAGTCATATAATCATTCGACTTCTGTTATCAATGCAGGTAATGAAGGAAAATGAATTTCGAAGCTGGGTCATCTTGTGAGAAGGAGTTGTTCTGTTATTTTCATGTGGGAGGAAAATTTGTGACAAATGGTGAAGGTGAAGTGAGATATAATGGAGGTGGCGTGAGGTTAAGAAGCATTAAGGATGGGCTGACACTTGAAGAATTGAGGCTAATGATATGTGAGTGGATTGGTGGTGATGGAAGAAATTATGACATTAAATACACAGTGGCCTTTGATGAGAAGACACTGATTGACCTTCATGACAATGTTGAAATGTATAACCTCTTTCAATACAATGGGAACAGCGGTCATGTGTATGTGGCCGAAAAAAGGCAGGGGTCCCCAATAAGGGTGAGCAAAACCGAACCGAAACCGAAAACCGAACCGAACCGAAATTAATTCGGTTTTTTTTGGTTCGGTTAATTCGGTTTTTTTTTCGGTTAATTTTTTTGGTTATTTCGGTGTTCGGGGTTCGGTTCGATTCGGTGAGCATACTAAAATTTCAGTTATAACCGAATAACCGAATAATAATTTTTTTTCTTTTTTTCTATTATTTTTATTTCTCTACTTTTTTTCCAAAATACCTCGGTCCCTCTGGTCGTCTCTCAGTCTCGCTCTCTCAGTCTCAAACCCTCATACTCACTCTTGCGTCTTGCCCTAAATCTTTGCCACAGCCTCCTACCTGAAACGAGTCACTCAGCTTCTCACCTTCTCCGAGCTCAGCCGTCGTCTGTCATCCGTCACCCCGTCATTGCCTCGCCTCTGGTTTGTGGTTTCATCGCTTCATTGGCTTGCCCCTACGACATTGCTCTGCCACCCCTGTGACAGCTTCGTCTTCTCCGGCAGCTTCTTCTTCTCTAGCAGCTTCATCTTCTCCGACAGCTTCATCTTTTCCTCTCCAGTCGCCGACACAGTCATCTCTGCATCCGTGAGTGGTGAGTCTATCATTCGACATGTTGTGTTCTTGTATATTCATCAATGAACAAATAGAAAACTTGGATCCATATCTTATGGCTTAAATGCATGTGATTGGAACATTACTTGATTTAACAGACAGTGAGAATGGGTGATGCTCAAGTTATATAATTTGAACCGGACTAAGAAGTCATATTAATGGGTGATGCTTAAGATACAGAGAGTTCAGGCTCTTCGTGTCATTTGACGTTTGAACATTATATTCTTACATTTAAATCATTTAATTAGAGGCACAAATGTTGTTGGAGACAAATGAAGAAAAGGGATTAATTAGGTACTTAAATTAGATGGACATTATGATCACACCCAGACGGAAATCAGGAGATGTAGCTTTCATGAAAAGTTATTTGATTTCATATTCATTATAAATTGTGGTTTCTTATATAATATGCTGTCACTGGTTGGGGAATATGCTGTATATGGAAGGAAAATCATGATGTTTTCCCCCGCGCAAGTCGCAACTGCTAAAATAAAAGACTTTATATTGTAAGCAAGTCAGAGTTGGGCTGTCAGATATTAAGATTTTTCTCTAGAAAGAACTCCATCCTTCTCAAATTATCTCTCCTAAAACCGGTTTTCTCGTCATTTCCATTTTTCAAAAGAAAACAAAGATTGGATATAGAGTGTTAGTTGTAGATTACAAAAGAATGACCAGACCGAGAAACAAAATTAGCTTCTGAAGAAAGAAAACCAAATCCAGGCGAATTTGAATTTGTTTTCAACTTACATTTCCTTTGCTTTTCTAGCTCGTGAAGCTCAGGTGGTCCTTCGAAATGTTAGCTTATCGATGGAAAAGCTTTGACGTTGACCTCAAAATAATTGCTGAACTGAGTTTTTCCCCCCTGCCTCTAGTGTCTATCTTAAGATAGACAGGACCAGGAAGTTTTTTTCCCTCCCTCCTTGTTTTATTTTCATTGTTCCTGATGTTGAACATTCTGGAGGCATAACCATTGCAAACCTATTGGCTAATGTCAAAATATAAAGTGTGAACTGCATTTCGTAGCTCACTACATATCTATAGTGGATTATAATTCTAATTAATTTTTGCACCGGATTCACTGGCACTATTTTGTCCTAATTTTGGAGCAATAAAAATATTCTATTTCATAGGATATTTTTGAGTCTATGGGAGAATTTGTTGATGGATTGAAGTTTTCTGGAGGTTCTCACAGCCTGATCCCAAAGACTGTTATTAAAGAAATGATTGACATGGCGCATCAGCATGATGTTTATGTCAGTACAGGCAACTGGGCTGAACATATGGTTGGGAAAGGTCCATCAGCTTTTAAGGAATATATTGAGGTCTGAGCTGATTGCATAATTATTCTGTAATGAATTTGTATTTCTGATTTATAAATCAGTGATTGACGTGGTTTCTTATTTATTATAGGAATGCAAGCAATTGGGTTTTGATACAATTGAACTAAATGTTGGCTCTTTAGGAGTTCCTGAAGAAACATTTTTGAGATTTGTTCGCATGGTTAAAGGTGGCGGCTTGAAAGCTAAGCCCCATTTTGAGGTGAAGTTTAACAGGTCTGATATTCCCAGAGGTGGTGATAGGGCTTTTGGGGCTTTTGTTCCCCCAGCACCTCGATCATCTGGTACAATGCAACTCTTTATTCTCTTTTTTGGTCTTTGCATAGGCACAAATGGGTCGTATGTGCGCGTTCTATCTGTCTCTCTTATATGATGGGAGTAGACATATTGAGGATTCTAACAAAATGTTTCTATTAGCGTTATTCTACTCATTAATGAGTGTTTATCTGGAAGTTATGAAAAATAGCTTTTGGTGTTTCTGCGCAACAGGTTTTAGGAAAAATACTTGAGTAAACAAATCTTATGCTTAATTTGTTTTTTTTAAGCTCTAAAGTTATGTACTCTCTAATTTTCTTATTTTCCTGTTTAATTGTAGTTGTTGATGACTTGGTGTTGGTGGCAGTTGCATGCAAGGAATTTGGGCACAAGGATTGGCTAGAATTTGTTATAATTTTGAATTTCACATGTTATGTTGTTAGTACTTGGTTGGTTTGTTTGGATTTTAATTATATTTGGATTTTTTTGGTTATTGGTTTGTATGTTCTTGTAGATTGATACTTGAAAGAGATTGATTATTATTTATTCTACTATTATATATTTATATTTTAAATTTGATGTCATCAACGTGCATTTGGTTTACCGAATCAGGAGTTGCAATCATGAATGAGCGTCTTGGATTGTTATTATAGATTGGGCCATTTGGTGTCATCAATGTGCAAAAATGCTTTGGTGTCATCAGGAGGCAAACATCGAATGAGGAGAGGCAAATATGTTAAAGGGATTTACCAAAAAAAAAAAAAGAGGGTCCAGCTTGGTTGGGCCATAATAGTATTAAGAAGGCCCAATAACCGAATTACTATACTAACCGAACCGAAATATTTCGGTTATTTCGGTTTGGTTATCTTACTGCTTTCGGTTTCGGTTCGGTGTTGTTTTTGCACTATTTTCGGTTATTCGGTTATTTCGGTTATTTGCATTAACCGAACCGAATAACCGTTTGCACAGCCCTAGTCCCCAACTAAAGGACAATGTAGGAATGTAAGTGGAAGTTTGTCTTAACTATTTGTTGTCATTTATGAATTTCATCTTGTCATTTGTGTTAACGAGTCTTGTCATTCTGAATGCAGAACAGAGAGATTCATGGGCATGTCACAGCAAACGGAACTGTATGCGTCTCCCATTAGTTTGTGCTGTGATTATGGCTGGCTCAGTTAAGAAAATGCTCGTGAATGTGACAATGATGAAATAAGTGGGCCCCTTAATGTGGATACATCCATCAGAGTTGAAAATACGGATGGTAGTGAGATGGTTCATGCAGAATGGAAGGGACATTTTACAGGAGTGGGCCAACATTTTCCTAGTGCAGATGTATTTTGGGTGTCTGCATACAAGTTTGCACTTGCAAACAAGTTTGTGCCCAAGTATGTGAGGAATAGCAAGGAATTCATGTCGATGAGGTGTAAAGTTGAGGGTTGTCCATGGAAGCTATGTGCAAATCATGTGGGGAAGAGTTGTGATGTGCTACGAGTGACGACATTTATAAACTGGCATGTTCATTCTGCCCAAAGATAGCTTGGATGTGATGCATAGTGGAAGAGCTAGTTTGAACTCATCAATAATAATTGATGAGATAAGGGATCATGCAGACAAGCGCACTTCTGAGATAAGGAAGAAGTTGAAACGAGAGTATGGGATTGATCTAACATATAAACAGGCTTATAGAGCAAAAGAGAAGTCATTGGAAGACATATATGGCAGGCCTGAACAATCATATATGCTCATAACATGGGTATGTGAAAGGCTAAAGGAAACAGATGAAAAATCCGTGGCTGAATGGACTGCTATTGGGAACCGATTTGAGCGTGTTTTCATTGCCTACGGGTCATGCATTGAGGGTTTCTTGGGTAGCGTGAGGCATATTATGTATGTTGATGGAACTCATTTAAGCAGACCATATAAGGGGACAATGTTGCCAGCTTCAACTTATGATGCAGATAACGAGCTGCTACCGTTTGCAATTGCAATTGTCAAGGGAGAAACACTAGATGACTGGACGTGGTTTTTCTATATGATAAAAAAAAATCCTGGGTTCTGTGGAAGTAACGATTGTATTAGATCGATACAATGCTATCATCGGAGGAGTGGCATCAATCTTTGGGGGTCAAAGGCATGCCTTTTATTATAGACACATCAAGGAGAATTTTAGTTCAGAAGTTATGAAAATGAATAAGGGGCAAACAAGAACAAATGGCCGATCAAAGGAGGATGCACTACATTTATTGGATAAAATTGCATATGCAAGGATGGATGAGAAATTTGAGACAGCAATGGATGACATGAGATCCTTTTCTCCAAGGCTATTTGATTGGCTTATTCGTCATGGGAAGATGTAGATAGGTAGACTAAAAGCAGGTTCCCATATAAAAGATGGGACAATATTACAAGTAATATAGCAGAATCATTCAATGCATAGATGGTCAATCAGAGAAAGCATACTGTACCCCAATTGATCTATGAGCATCGAGATAAAGTTGCAAGAAAGTTGCATGCCTCCTATGTGGCTATGACCAAATGGAAGAATTGCGTTGGTCCAAATATAGAGAGTAAGGTGCTGGATATAGTGGCTGGGTCTAACCATATGTATGCTGAAAATTATGGTGGGGGAAGAGTGAAGGTGACAACATCACGTGAAGACTATCAGGTTGATGTTGGATTACACCAATACAGTTACAGATCTTGGCAAATGACGGGGATCCCTTGTTCCCATGCTTGTGCTGCCATCAAGATTGTGCATGGCAATGTTTATGATTATGTTGATAATTGCTATAAAAAATCATCACAAGAAAAGATTTATGCTCTCAGTATGATTCCTGTGGTAACAACATGCATGCCTCACCCAAATGACTACTATAAAATAGAAAATGTCAGTGAGCAAGTTTTCTTGCTACCTCCCATTACATCTCGACCACCAGGAAGGCCAAAAGTAAACAATGATGAATCACAGTTCCAGAACAAACGGATATACTAATGTGGAAGATGCCACCAACCTGGACACACAAGGAGGAATTGCAGAAATCCTAACTCATCATGAAGTTTCGAGTATAGTGGGGATGGGTCATTTTTTAGTGTACATAGTTATATGCTCCGCCCTTGTCAACTTTTTTGGGATTGGGGTTGTAGTTAGGAGCTAAGTGGAGACATTTTTTTGTAAGTAAGGTGATAGAAATTTCAATGATAAGGGAGCATTAAGTGTGGCTAGTATCTTAATGTCCACTTGTCATTGAATACATGAAAGGAAGTTACTATTACGGAGATGTTAGCTTTTGTTAATAGCGCATTAGTTGTTGTCATTTTCAAATTTGTTCTGGTCATTGGCAGTGATGCTATCAGCATAAGCTGACAGTTGATCTTAAACTGATGTTATATAATCAGATCAGGTTATCCTTATCATTATCGTTGTCATATTCGGACCACTTGTTGTCATTTTTAAATTTGTTCTGGTCATTGGCAGTGATGCTATCAGCATAAGCTGACAGTTAATCTTAAACTGATGTTATAAAATCAGATCAGGTTATCCTTATCATTATCGTAGTTATATTCGCTTCACTTGGTGTCATTTTCTGTTGGATATCAACAGGATATATTGAAGTAAAATTGAGTGACCTGAACAAAAAATGGAAACCAATAGCACATGTCCAATGGGGTTGTTGTCATCATCTGTTTTGGTGTGGTTAAACTCAGATTCACTCATGTTATTGGGGAATAAATTGGCATCATGGATCTCAACAATCATAAATTTATGGACACCAATCTCTGTTAACCATAAGAATACACAGTAAATTTTTGGTCAGCCTACAATGCACATTACATACAGCAATCTAATAGAGGACAAGTGAATTATGAGCCTAACATCAAGACACCTAAGACTGATGCCTTTTCTTGGACTTTGTGCTCTTGGTTGGTTGTGGTTGTCGAATAAGAGTCAATGCCTCGTCACGTTTTTTCATTCAGTTCATGATTCACCAACCACCATGTCAGGTCACGACGAAAGCTAGTAACTTCTTCCTCTATGTAGGTAAGGGTCACACCAGGTTCCCATCTTCTCAGTCATATCATGCAGTGCGCCCCACAATCCCTCCTGTGGACACAACAATATTAACACAGTTAGTTAACATATCTGACATGTGCATTTACCACACATAATTCGAATTTGACAAAACTGACAGGTTATTCTGCTGGGGAACTTCTGCAAATATCATGGGAGACATTGGCTTTTTCCCAACCAATCCTGGCTTGACCAAGTTCAGTATAATATTGAACCTCATCCTCCGCAAAAAGATTCAGGACCAACATAGAAAGTTTAATGATTTTACAGGTTCAAAAACTAAGGTAAAGATAATGAGTTTTTTCTTACACAGTCATCCACAGCCATTTCCACTGGGTCTTTGATGACAACCTTCTTCTTATTCTTTCTGTCCTTAGTTCCGAAATGGTCACTCATGGAGTCTAATATGTGGAAATCCAATGTGCTGGGCTGAATGGCAACACAAAACCAGTGTTGGCCAACAAGAGCCGGACCAATTATGAAATCACATTTAGCTAAGTTGTAGCTAAGGAACCCAGGAAGAAAGAGCTTCTTATATTTTTGGGCTTTCCAGGTTGGATCATGTGCCATCATGTTCTGCATGACATGAAATTGTTAATCCATTAACAGAGAATAAGTCATTTCCAATTCAATTACTGTCATTGGTATTTGCATTCAGAATTATGCAACCTCACCATGAAATCCACATCGAAAATGTGCCTTTTCCCTGGTCCTAACTCTGCCTTTATGTCCTTCATCACTGCCTTGCACACCAAATTAAGCACCTACAGAAGACAAGTGAAAACATCATTCTGATACAATAATCTCACCAAACATTATCAAACATAATCATGGGTGCAGGGACAGAGCATTCTAAAATACCCTGTTATTTACTCTGTTCACTCCACCCAAGGAAAACAGCTGTTGTCGGTCTATATCTTCATCAAACATTTTGATGACAATCCTACAAACATTGTCAAATGTCAGTGACAGAAAGTATGGTATTGGGGACATCATCACTTGTCATCCCCATGTATTTTATTGTCATTTTCAATTCTATTGTTGTCATTGTTAGGGCACACTGTGTTATTTAAAAACAAAAGGCTAGCCAGGGATATACTTACATTTTCCCCTCTTCCTCTCCCTTGGGTCTACGGGATATTAAAGTGAAAAAAAATATCCCTTTCCTCCTTTGGCCTCTTCATCCTCAGAGCTGCCTTGAATTCCATCCACAGAGATTTAATTGTGGAACTCTTTGCCCTTGTTGACCTCCTAAACTCAGTCGATTTTTCAGGCCCTCCTTTCTCCCCACTATCACTACTCACCCATTCGTGATCCAACAGCAAAGGAACATTGGTAGAGGTCATTGTCAGTACATGTGTATCTTCCTCACCCTCATCATCTAAATTCCGAACCTCCTTATCATCATCTTCCGCCTCTTCAGCCACATAATCATGACTGACTTACATGTCATCATAGTCATCTTCCTCCTCATCAACCACATGACCTCCTTCCCTGTCATCATGGTCATCTTCCTCCTCATCCTCATCATCATCATCATCATCACCTCCATGACTATCACGGTCACCCTCATCTTCCACCTCCTCAACCATGTAATCATCACTGACTTCCCTGTCATGAAGGTCATGTTCTTCTTCATCCTCATCCTCATCCTTCTCATCATCTCCTTTGCTGGTTTCATCCTTATCAAGTTCCTCATCTCCGCTTCTCGTTGCAACCTCTCTTGCAATCTCCTCCACCACTCGATCAACATCATCAGCTTCTTCAACATTGTTACCACCTGCATCACCAACTGTTTCAACCCCTTCTTTAGCAGTGGCATTCTCATTCCCCATCCCCTTAACTTTGGCGTTCAATCCAATATGCAGTTTGAGTAGCTCATCATCAAGAGCCTTCATTAACGTCCTCTGGCTTTCTTCAAGCTTTTTAACAAAACAAGCCCTCAACTCCTTCAACGCCTGCATACACAGTAAATGAAGATATCAAAAAAATTGATCACTGTTATCAAATGCCAGTATCTCACTGGTTATTTGTAAATAAAGTCTTGTCATCTCAAGTATCAACCTTGCTAATAGACTTACTTAAACTCAGGTCACGTATATTTTCTAAATTCCCACATACCGAATCTAAAGACTGCAGAATTGGACTGTCCTCATGTCCTGCTGAGTAAACCTCGATGCCACTGCTTTCATGCAATATTCCCATGCTGCTACCTCTCTCTTTCTCCACCCTCTCCTTTGTCTTCTCCTCGGTCCAATATTCAATGGGGCTTGTTGAACCCTGGTCAACAAACAATCCTAGTGGGAAACGCTCAGCAAAATAAAGCTGCAAAACCAAATAAAGATAGGTCACACTTCTGCAACAATAACATAAAACAAAAATATAGTGAACCATAAGAAAAATATTGACTTACCAGCAGCAAATAAAGACACCCTCCAACACTGCAAGTTCCTCTCTTCTTCTTCTTCTTCGTCATCTTCACAAAGTCTCCCATTTCCTTCCACAGGTTCTTGATTATGTATGTTGACCAATCATATTTTCCAAACCCATCCATCGTGTGACACATCACTTTCAACAAACGTATATGTACAGTTGTGCTTGACCCAGGACATAAAAAAGCTCCAACCGTATAAAGCATAAATAGGAACTCAAAATTGTCACTTTCTTTCCCAGATAATATCCTCTTCAGTATCTGGGTAAATGGAACCTTCCAATAAGTGTCCTTTAACCTCTTGTATTCTGGGTCATCCTCACTAACATCAGATTTCACTTCCTCCCCACTGTTAGGTACACTTAGAAACTCATGAGCATCTTTTGCTTCAATTGCCTGCCCTTGCCCCCTAATGGTCAAAAAATACGTTGGTGGGTCATAGCATCTCAACAATAACACAAGTAGATCACGTGGAAGTTGCTTCACATTCATATTAAGCAAGTTCCCAAATCCCATCCTCTCAACTTTCTGCCTTAACCGCCTGTTTTTCTTCACATACTCAACCAATGATAGAAATCCGGGCAATGAGCACCGGGTGTATAAGGGAACATTATACTTCTTCTTCTCACCTTTCTCTGGCTTCGTTTTCTTTGCCCTCTCATTATACCTATCTTTCTCTTCTTCACTCAAGGCCCTCCATGCCTTCCCCACTTCAATTTTTTCCTCTCTTGCATTTTTACACTTCTTTCCTCGTTTTGCCATATACTCCCTTGACAAACTTAATTATTTTTATATTTTTTGATATCTTTTATATGGGTTTTGTCAACTTCATTAGTTCTTTTGGCCCTAATTGACTATTAATTGATTTAATATATTTTATTTTGAATTAATATTTTATAGGGGCAAAATTGTCATATTTTGGTTTAATTGTGAGTAATTGGTTTTTGAGGACAATTAATGCTACCTTATTCTTGAATTTTGTTTGCAGGTTTTTGGAAGATTTTAAAAAAATAAATAATTAAAATTAAAATTAAAAAAAAATATAATAAAAAATAATTTTAAAAAAAAGGGGAGCCCCCCACTAATAACCTATTATTATCATCTAAAGAGGGCGGAAGACGCAACACGCCGAGGAAGCATTATTCATCATCTTCATTGGCGGCGTGAAACAAAGAAACGAGCTGGGAGGCGTAAAAAAAAGACCGGAGGCTGGCAACACACGAAACAGAGGAGACACTGGGTGGCAGAGAGAAATAAAAGCGGAACAAAGGAGGCAGCACACGCGACGCTGAACGAGCTGGGGCAGCGAGAAAAAAGAAGAAACAGCAAAACAGAGGCTCATGGTGTCATCCTTAATCATCTTTTGCACTGTTCCGTCACGTATCTTCCATGGCAGACCGCAAAAGAGCATTGATTGTGGCATTTTTCATGGCTATGCGTGGCTAGAGCTATGAAATTCTCTAATTCAACAACAATGGCAGGAGCTTAGATA